ACTGGGTAGGAGCTCATGTTTTCGGTACACCTAGGCAGTACTGGGTAGGAGCCCCTTTACACCTAGGCAGTACTGGGTAGGAGCCCCTTTACACCTAGGCAGTACTGGGTATGAGCCCCTTTATTAGGTACACCTAAGCAGTACTGGGTAGGAGCCCATTTTTTAGGTACACCTAGGCAGTACTGGGTAGGAGCCCCTGTATTAGGTACACCTAGGCAGTACTGGGTAGGAGCCCATTTTTTAGGTACACCTAGGCAGTACTAGGTAGGAGCCCCTTTACACCTAGGCAGTACTGGGTAGGAGCCCCTTTACACCTATGAAGCACTGGGTAGGAGCCCCTTTACACCTAGGCAGTACTGGGTAGGAGCCCCTGTATTAGGTACACCTTAGGCAGTACTGGGTAGGAGCCCCTTTATTAGGTACACCTAGGTAGTACTGGGTAGGAGCCCCTTTATTAGGTACACCTAGGCAGTACTGGGTAGGACCCCCTTTATTAGGTACACCTAGGCAGTACTGGGTAGGAGCCCCTTTACACCTAGGAAGTACTGGGTAGGAGCCCCTTTATTAGGTACAACTAGGCACTTCATAGTCTTCAGTTAATCAGCAATCACCCGCCGTGTCTTGGTGTTTCCATTAGAATTGTGAAGATTTTCACAGTGCAGATTACTGGAATTGTAGAGACACCCTCAGGACCGCAGTTACTGCACATATTTCACATTAGTGATAACAGTGACCCAGCTGCTGCCTTAGCTCATAGCCAAAGAGCTGCTAACTCACTGGCTGCAGGGCGCCTAACTCAGGAAACTCCACCCCCCCGAAAGTCAGCCATTGTTATTTTTATCTTTCAGAGGAACACCGCACCATTTATCTAGTTGTGGGGGAGAGTTACAGTGTTTTGAGTGGTAAAGCAGAAAGCCAAACTTGGTTGGCATAAGACAGGGTTATTCAACTCATGGTCCTCGAGGTCCGAGCACTGCTGGTTTCCCAGCCTTCCTTTACCTTTCAGTCAGGTGTGAAGCCTCTGACCAATCAGAATCAGTAATTATTCAACAACTACCTGGGAGAACTGAAAACACGGCCTGGATTTGGAATCAAGGTCCAGAGTTGAAGAACCCTGGCATAAGGCATTAGAACATATCTCTACAGCTGGGATGAAACAACAGGTGCAAAATTAAAGGAAAATTAAGCAAATTGGACACTGGCCTGTAATTAAATGGGGTTCTGGTACAAAGGCCACTTTTACTGAAAGTACGTATAAAAGAGCTGAAAATTGGCTTGTCAAAACGTTCTAAAATGAGACTGAAATTTAAATAACTGAGAATGAATACTGAAGTTCACAGGAAAAAGACAAATGAAAATGATCAGATACCTAAATCAGTCTCTCAGCTCAAAACAAAACCATTGAATGTCCTTTTCCCAAAATGCATTTCATTACAAAAAAATGGGTAGAGCTAAACCGGTACTCATCACTAAACTCTGCAATATGTATTTGAATGAAAATTCTTAGTTTCACTGGCTAAGATTTTTACTGAGGATACAATATCTGTTAATTAACAGGCCAATTCCCTCCCCCAAGATGCACACCCGGTCCACAATTCAGTTAAATCAGTGCAGCTGAAGCTTGGGGTCGACCATTTATCTGGTGCTCCAGGGCTAAAGCGTCTTGTTGAAGGATCGACAGAAATATGTAATCCCAACACCTTCTGGACATAGGAGCTGACTGGTGTACTGCAGAGACAAATACCACACAGTAATTACAGATTCATGTCACTGCTGTGGGGAATCCACAAGGCAGATTTACACCGTGCTGTAGTTTATTTTTTAGGAGTACAGTAAATATCTGTTTTATTTTCTCCCTGTAATGTCATTGGAAAACATAATGTTTCATTGCTGAAGATCAGTATTGGCTGGCGTGCTATAACTGAAAGCATTAAAAAGTCCATACAAATGCCAAACAATACCAGAAGACAATCGTTAAATGACAGGAGGTTATTGGTGGAATATGTACAGCATTATATGGTTTTGGAGGAACTTAAAGTAATTGTTTAAAAATATTTTTGGACCAGTGGTGATTATATAAGACTGTATAATTAGATCTGAATTTACAGAAAACTACACTGTGTCACTACATCTTGAACATAATACCAACTACGAGGTCATGATCAGACGAAGGGCCAAGCAGGTGGAAGCGGAAATCTGGAGTGATTGGAGCCAAATAAAACAAGTCCCCACCGGTAATCTTTTCATCTGTTACCTCCATTCTCAAGTGACCATTTACTATCGTCAAGTTAAACCAGGTTCAGCTGTACAGGCTTGTTTTTCAATGACCATTTGTGGCAAACAATGAGAGGAAAGTTTCCTCCCTGCATCACACAGGACCCATCAGAGCTGTCTGCAGTTGACGGTCTTGGGATTTTATTCCACAAGCTGCCCTGCCTTATGTAGCATTTCTCCCCTGTGGAACAGCAGCCTTCTCTAATTGTTGCAACGTTACTATGACCTCAAAATAAAAATGAAGAGCTGTCCTACATAATTCCCTATATAAATGAAGAGCTGGCTGTCCTACATAATTCCCTATATAAATGAAGAGCTGGTTGTCCTACATAATTCCCTATATAAATGAAGAGCTGGTTGTCTTACATAATTCTCTATATAAATGAAGAGCTGGCAGTCCTACATAATTCCCTATATAAACGAAGAGCTGGCTGTCCTACATAATTCCCTATATAAATAAAGAGCTGGCTGTCCTACATAATTCACTATATAAATAAAGAGCTGGCTGTCCTACATAATTCCCTATATAAATAAAGAGCTGGCTGTCCTACATAATTCCCTATATAAATGAAGAGCTGGCAGTCCTACATAATTCCCTATATAAATGAAGAACTGGTTGTCCTACATAATTCCCTATATAAATGAAGAGCTGGCTGTCCGACATAATTCCCTACATAAAATCCCAGGCTCTTTGGTTGAAGGAAGCCCAGAGCACTAATCAGATGAGCTGCTTTTAATTGTTCTGATATTTGGCATCTGTGTAGTAGGTTGTTAATTACCTGCTGGCTTTACAAATACCCATCAAAATATCCCAATATGATCATCTGCTTGCTTCAGGGTTTTTTTTTTGGGAAATCTGGTTTTATGCAAACCACAATATTAATTTACTGCACTATAACATCAACATTCTAAAATATGAATTTGACTCATTCATCCCTGCTAGCAGTATGTAAAGGGTAATATTTCTACTGTCCTGAAACTGAAGATTTTTTTTCTCATTTTATCTTGTGACAGAACTTGACAGCCAGCCAAAAGTTAAGTGGAAAGTGCAAAAACTTAAAAAAGGGGTTCGATTGCTAGAATTAATGTTGGAGGTAAGATTAAATGTAACCCTAAAATCTACATATCACATAGGTTCAGCATTGCAGTGGAAATAAACATTTTTTGTGTCCCGGAAGGAGAAAATTTAAAAACAAAATAAAGAAAATAAATTTTATTAAGTTAATTTAATATGTCAGGATGTATAAGGATCAGGTATAATGTACTTCTAATATTCCATTATCTATTACAAATGGTTGTAGTAACATTAAAACATACAGTATAAAAACATTTTCAGTGTACAGAAGACTATTGGAAACATCCTTTAATGTCCATTCTGTAATTGTCCTGTAGGAATATTCCAGGAATGCCACATTTGGAGGACTGATGTACCAAATTTCTACCAGTCCTGTGCCATGTTGGCATGACATGGACATTGTCTACACAGAGAGCACGAATTACAAATTATCAATTGCTGCCTCTACTGTAAACGTAACTGTCCGTGCTAATAACAGTGTGGGTGTCTCACCGGAGACACACATCACCATCCCAGCTCAGTACTTAGACAGTAAGCATCACGGAGCCCCGGCGTTCCAGAATGTACCTTGTGTGTTGGTTACATTGTCCAAAAAAATTAAACCAGTTATTTCATCTACAGCTTGTCCAGAGAACCGGTCAAAAACCACGACAAACAACAAAAAGAGAATGGAGCTGTGTGTAGTGTGGTACAGACTCACCGGAGAGACACCAAAACTGGCCGATGAAAATCACAGTACAGTCAAAAGTACATCTCAAGCCTTCGAGATTATGAATGCAGGTGAGAACATTTCCTGAATTTCCAGAATTTCCGCATTCTGGGGGGGCCTGATGCCTCACATAAGAGCATAAGAACTATACAAACGAGAGGAGGCCATTCGGCCCATCGAGCTCGCTTGGGGAGAACTTAACTAATAGCTCAGAGTTGTTAAAATCTTATCTAGCTCTGATTTAAAGGAACCCAAGGATTCAGCTTGCACTACGTTATCAGGAAGACTATTCCATACTCTGACTACACGCTGTGTAAAGAAGTGCTTCCTTAAATCCAGTTTGAAATGTTCTCCCGCTAATTTCCACCTATGGCCACGAGTTCTTGTATTTGAACTAATGCTGAAGTAACTATTCGGTTCAACAGCATCCAAACCTGTTAGAATCTTATAGATCATGTCCCCCCTCAGTCTCCTTTGCTTGAGGCTGAACAGATTTAGCTCAAATAACCTTTCCTCGTATGACTTTCCACTAAGACCAGGAATCATTCTTGTGGCCCTACGCTGCACCTTTTCTAAGGCCGCAATGTCCTTTTTAAGATATGGTGACCAAACCTGCACACAATATTCTAGGTGAGGTCTCACCAAGGAATTGTATAATCTTAGCATTACCTCCCTTGACTTAAACTCCACACACCTGGAGATATACCCCAACATCCTATTGGCCTTTTTTATTGCTTCCCCACACTGGCGAGAATGAGACATGGAAGCATCAACATACACACCAAGGTCTTTCTCATAATCAGCTACCTTTATTTCAGTAGGTCCCATAAAATACCTGTACTTTATATTTCTGCTCCCTACATGGAGTACCTTACATTTGTCTATGTTAAATTTCATCTGCCAGGTATCGGCCCAGTCACTAATTAAATCAAGATCCCACTGTAGCTGCAACATATTCCAGCTGCTTATAAAATGACTGATCATCATTCATTGAATGTCGATGCATTCATTTTTTATCCAATAGAACAGCTTGCTTTTTCTAGACTCTGATTTATAACACAGAATGACTCACAGATTGTAAATGGCTGCAGCGGGTACATGACACTTTGTCAATTATAAACACACTGGTTCATTTGTTTTAGAAATGGAAGACTTTGTGCGGTATCACTACTTCATATACACCAAAGCCAAAAGAGGAAAGCAGCAGATCACTGACATGTGTCCAGTGTATAAGAAAGAAGGGGGTAAGTTATGTTCGTGTGTGTAGCACAGGTCAGCGAGACCTCAAGCAGCCTGTCTTGGGTTAGGCTCGGGTTCTAGTTGTAACTAAAAGAAAGAAAGTACTGTATTAATTAATTAAAGATCTGTAATAAAGGCACATGCTGCTTGCACAATAAACTCAGCGGTGGCTTGTCGTTTCAGCACCCAGAAGCTCACCTGGAAGCCTCACTGCTCTTAATAAAACCCACAATTCTGCTGTACTACAGTGGGAACCCATACCTGTGTCAGAACAGAGAGGCTTTCTCAAAAACTATATAATCTACATCCTGGGACCGAACGGGACTGAAACAGGTGAGCCATAACCCATAACCCTAACCCTACATATACACATTTTCCATCAGCAAGGTCATTCTTTCAAGCTAATTATTGTATTTAACCATGTTTTTCAATAGTTTTAAGACTGACAATAGAGGCTATGTGTCATTTTATTTTTCAATATGGGACGAGGTGGTGACTCTAAGTGTAAAATGTTATTAAGCACAGATAATGGGGACCCCTTTGTATCAGCTGTGCATGGCCTTCAGCCTGTGTTAGCCTGTGCATTAAAGTGGCTGCTGGACAAGCTGTGTGTAACTGCCAGTATGGTGACACACTGGGTCATTCCATCGCCTCACACTTAAAGGCCCCCACTGTTTAAATCCTACCTCAGCTCTGCCTCTGTGAAGTTTGCATGTTCTTCCCATTTTGTAGGGGTTTGAAATATGCACTCATCTGTAAATTGCTCATAGAGTGTTGTGCTCGTAATATGTGCATGTCCTGTCCCCACAATGGTCTTGCACCTCGTCTCCCGTTTTCTTCCTAGAATACACTCCAGCAGTTTGATGGTCAGTGTTGTATAATTTCACATATTACAAATTCGCAGTTTGTGTTTTGCTGTCTACAGTGATATGTGCCCTTTTTCCCTTATTTCAAATACAGTGAAAGTTCCAGGGTCTCAAAGTAATTTCACGATGCAAAATCTTAAACACAGCAGCGTGTACTCCGTCCACCTTGCGGGACAAACATCTGTGGGAGTGGGACCGAACACTACAGAGACCTTCCAGATGAAGCCTAACCCTCCTACCAAGAAAGGTGCGAAATGCTATTTGTACTTCCATGTTACTCATGTCAATATTATTCTCTGAACATGCACATTTCCCAAAAGTGCTGATATCTGAAAACCCCTTGTAAAATATACCTACCATATTCAGTAATTTTGTAACCATTCTGTAACCTTATTTTGTAATAATTATATGTTTTTTTTTTTTACTGGAACTTTATAGTTGGCAAACTGGAAGTTGTTTTAATGCAGCAACAAGAAATAACAATTTCCTGTTTTGATACAGGGCTGCCCAGTTTCAGCGTCGTCACTGTGACGTGTCTGGTTGCCTTCTTTCTCATGGCATTCTGCATTTTAATTGTCAAATGGTAAGCTTCAGTAAAAGGCACTAATGTTCCCTCAGGGAGAGGAAAATAGCTGCAGCCAAGGTCTGCGATTATTCCGCCGTAGATTCATGCCTGGTGGGATCGTTTGCTGTGTATTTCTGTACACTTATTTATTCTGCTTGAAATATGCTGGTTTATTTTTGATAACTGTATTCACTGCTGTTCTCAAGTGTGAGAAGTCAAATTCATCCATACGATTTCTATACATCCTACCCAGTAGAGGGTCACAGTGGACCGGGAATGTACCCACATGGAGAATGTAACAGGGAGAATATGAATATCCAACCAGGGGCGTTGCTAGAGATTTTGGGCCCCATGAAAGCATATCATATTAGGCCCCCCAGTCCAAACCAATCCAGTTATTTTCCTAATTTTTTAGGGCCCCTGTCACTCAGGGTTAGGGTCCTAGCTTTCCTCTCCCTTACGGCGCCCCTGTATCCAACACTTTGTTGAATTCATTCTGCTTAAATATTTTTGCTGTTCTATGTTTTTCCATAAAATGGCGATTAAATTCATACTCGGCACCGTCACACCTGGAAATGATAAGACATCAAACCAAACATCAAAAGCATTCAGAAGTCAGCGAGTTTTCGCTATTCGCTATAGCGATGACGTCAGGAGAGGCGATCCGTGGCAGGGGGGCAGTTTGCTGCAGCGCGTGCGTCCCCGCGAGACTCTCGTTCGTTCGACTCGTGCAGAGGGTATCCGTATTCGCAGCACTCACAGTACAGTATACATTATGAATGAGTCATAATATCCGTTTGTGTGACATTAATGAGCTAAGAAAATTGTGATAAAAAGGTTGCCATAATGAACTAAGAAAACTGTAGCTTGAAAGTAGCTTCCCCAACACTGATTGGTAATCATCTTAAAGGAAACGCAGTAAGAGTAATTGTCATTGCTGTTTTGTAATTTGGGAATATACTCTTAATGGCAAAAGGCCGCGGTTGTGTAATACACTGCAGGATCAGTTTGTTTGCATAAGAGTGATTGTAATTTTAACGGGGAAGTTCTTGTTCCTGTTGCCACAGATCACTGTCTGAGTTTCACGCCATGTCATTAATTTTACAAGAACATGGGTCTCCAGGAAAAAGTGAGTACTTACGCTATACTATACTGAGTGCCGGTCTGCAGGAAATGTTTTAATGTTTTACAGTATCTCCGACAAGCTGCTCCCTGCTGTTCCCAGTCCCGTAATCCCAGAAACGCCCTCCTACCACACAGAGAACCATAAGGTGAGATCTGCTGCTTTTGAACATCTCCGTAATGTTTATGAGAAGCATAGGCAGCATGACCTTAGCGCGTATCGGTGTTACAGGAGGCGTACCCCGTCGGGGAGGAGGTGGATAGCCTAATCCTCCAGCTTTACGAGCCCAGTGGCGGCGGAGGGTCCGAGCCCCGGCAGATGGAGGTAGAGGTTTGCAGGACACCTTCGTATGAGCAGGATGATGGCGAGAGCCAGAGCGACTCCGAAGAGCCCGATGAGTCCAGTTTGGCCCTGAACCCTGATTATAAGAAGCAGATACTTAGCGGTCCGGCTCAGCTCAGCCACCAGCAGAACAGATGTGACGCGATACCAGCGTACAAAAACGGACTGGTCCTAGAGATGAGGGAGAACGCATCAGAGGAGCTCACGGAGTCGTGGCCAGCACTGGGATAGTGTCAAGACTGCTAACACAACTGCTAATAAAGGAATTATGCAAAGGGGCGCGTGTGCGATGTTTATAGAACACAGCTTTATTTTATTTTATTATTGATCTCAGGTGACATACAGCACAAAGTTAATTTCTAAACATTTTACTAATACAGGCTGTAATTCAGGTTTAGGGTTCTTAACGCTTACATACTTCTCCATTTTATATAAGGGACTTGAGCATCCGTAGATTACAGTTGGCCACCAGCAATAACAATATTTACTATATTAAATACAGCTGTTTCTCTTGAAAATGTTTATATCTAAATATTTTACTAAATAAGATGCCTCATTGCCCATCTAGCTAAAAAAGGAGGAGCGTATAGATAGACATTAGGCCTATAAAAATTCTTTCTGTTTGATTTTTAAATTAGGTCAAGTGACACATAGCAGAAACTTCAACCACAACAGAACAGCATAATGTGTTATGTTTCAGCCACTTTCTTGTGATTTTTTTCATCGTTTCCTATCTCTCACACGTATCTCATTTCCTCTGAAATGGTGTTGAACCAAAAATTGTCAGCATTTTCATTTTCTGTCATGCGGAACCCACGAATACGGAGTCTTGTATTATATTTAATACGACTGTATTATTATTTTATTATTATTATCCTTGTTGTTGTTGTAAGGAAATTGTGTTTAAAAATTAAGAGGAGTGTGTTTATAGTAATGATAAGTTATAGCATATATATATATATATATATATATATATATATATATATAAGCCTTTTGTTAAACATTAACTAATCATTTACAAAACCTCAATAAGACATTTATAAGCTTGTAGTTAAGAGCTAACTAATCATTTGCAAAACATTAAATTATTAAAAGGGAAATCATTAAAATTACCATAAACCAATCATTACTTAATATAATTACTAAGTTAATGAACAGGGGTGAGTTTCCCGAAGCCTTCTTAACGCTACGTCGTTCGTTAGTTCTATCTTTTAACACAGAACTTAAGAACGACGTAGCGTTAAGAACGCTTCGGGAAACTCACCCCAGATCATTTACAAATTCTTAATAATACATTTATAAGCAAAAATCATGCAGTTAAGGGTTACCTATACTTATTTACAAAACCTGAATAAACATTTATAAATGCTTATGAGGGGAAATGATCATAAACAAATCATGATAACACATTACTTAAAGCTGTCACCAATAATGCATTATAGATACCTTCATAATGTTATGCTATTATTCTGCTGATAAACCAGTGAAAAAGCTAACCCAGGCTAACGCTGCTGTTTCATAGCTATGTGACCAGGTGATTTATTTATGATTTATTGTGCATATGAGCAGTACAGCTGCAGCTCTTGGTAGCAGTGAGACATCGGGCGTTTGTGCCTTAAAAATGTGGATACACCAGATTTATTTGTTTCCTGGAAAAGCCTTCTTATTTTGGCAACTTAAATAAGTGTCGATACAGGGAATAAAAACCCCAAATTTGCATTATAGTGTCTCTAGAGTGATTTCACCGGCCACGGCTACGGATGAGCCTTCTTAGTTTTTAGCTAGCGGCAGGGGTGGATTAAGGTGTACAGTGGCCCCTAGGCTACAGTAGTCTGTGGACCCCCCAATCCCGCCCCCCTCCGCGCCAATGGGTGCCCCCTTGCAGGCTGGCACACGTGGGGCCCCTAGGCTTAAGCCATATCTAGCCTGTGCGTTAATCTGCCCCTGGCTAGCGGGATTGCAGCACAGAGACGCCAAATTGGCTCATTCGCTCATGCAAGAAATCTTACGGTAAATCTATAAATGGTGTGTAAAATATTTACCTGTGATGATGTGATGAATTGTTTACACTTTAGATTGGGGGGTGCAAAAGGTTCGTAAGCGACTTGTATACATTTATAGGTCATCTATTAATAAAGCATATAGCACCTTCCATTTACAGTCCTAATGCATTATAGTATTAAAATACTTAAAAAACTCCAGTGAAGCTGTCATCTATAATGCACTATAGACGTCATAAAGTGAGCCTTACTTTACCTTATGTTACTTATAATGCATCATGAAGGTTTACTTATAATGCATCATGAAGGTATCTATAGTGCATTATACATGAGAGCTTCTTTGGAGCGCTTAGGAAGTATTATAATTAACACTTTAATAACTAATGACTGTTAATAGAAGATGCTGTATCCTTTATTAATTCTTGGTATCGAGGGTTATAATACATTATGAGGATGGGCTCCCCCTTGAGTCTGGTCCCTCCCAAGGTTTCTTACTTCTCGGGAGTTTTTCCTTGCCAGTGTCACCTATGGCTTACTCCCTGGGGGCTTTGGGTGGGGATGCTGTAAAGCGCTTTGAGACGATGTAATGTTGTGATAATGTGCTATACCAAAATAAATTTGTTTGTTGTTGTTGTTGTATTATAGGTGACAGCTTTAACAAAAGTGTTACCATGATTGGTTTATGATAATTTCCCCTTTGAATCATTTATAAATGTTCTAAAGGTTTTGTAAATCATTAGTTAATCCTTAACTGCATGCTTATACATGTCATATTGAGGTGATACACTAAATCCACACACACACGCACACACACACACACACACACACACACACACATATATATACTGATTTCATTACTAACATTTAAAATAAATGGCCACCATCATTACAAAGCATGTGTGTGACCCTGCCGGCTGGCATTCCTCATTATAAGCAGGTCCATGCTTAATAAGGAAGCGGAATGAAATGTATCTCCTCCTTCTAGAGTTAACAGCCTTTATGTCCATGTTACTCTGTTCAGGGATGATGCAAAGTTGTTTAAGAATAAATAATGTCTCATCAGCACCACTGCGTGTATATATGTGTGTGAGTTTAGACGTTCCCCATGTTTCAGTCAAAAACATGGAGTTTCTGAATAGCCTGTAGTGTGTGATTCTGTGTGTGTGTGCGTGGCTTGTGATGGACTAGTATCCCATCTAGGGTGTACTATTTTTGGTGTTATTGCACTTGTAAATGATATTTGTGATACATGCTGTTAAAAATACTATTTATACTAAAATAAAAATTTATACTAAAATACTAAAATACTGAGTACGAATACTGGTTTTTAGAGGTCTGGTATTATAATTAATATGAGTTGAGAGGTGAGATGAGTTGGGCCTGAAGCTGGGGGGCTGCGGCACCTTCCTGCCCAATATGGACTCACACTGATAATGAAACCTGCAGTATTCACCATCACCCCAGAAAACTCTGGCACCTTCACAGGGTTTGCTTACTTCCACATAAATATGAAACCAACTTCGCAAAAGAAGTAAATTTCCACTTCATCAGTCCAAGAATATCAAAAAATATGGAATCTATATGAGCTGTCCTGAACTGTACATTTCTTCAATGTTTTGGAGGAGCTGCTGTTGTAGGTATACTCTATATTCAACAGTCTTAGGGCTCTCTTTTGACGATCTGGCACAAAGCGTAACATGTATGAGAGTATCCAAATCCATTTTGCTATTTTTACGGTGGAAAAAATAGACTTCTCGTCAGCGCAAGGTGCAAAAAGGTTCTCTAACTCTTTTAATTACTCAGAAGTGTGTTTGGGGTGTAACATGCAATAAACCAATTACAATGGCACGTCAACTCACCTTTAAAAGGGAGGAGGACAGCGGATTGCTTTTCTAACAGTGTATTTACCTGGAAAACCAGGGCCCAATCCCAAACCGGCCCCTACACACTCCGCCTCACCACTCCGCCTTCATTTGTGCGTTCCCTAAACCGTCGCCATATTGAAGTGTGTCTCAAAGGGGGAGTGGCCTGTTATGCCCTCATGAAGCGAGTCAGCAGCGGTAAAGGCCTACACAGCTCCCCAACCACTTCAATACCCCACAATGCTTCGCACACGGGAAACAGAACTGCGTGAAAAAAATGTTGAGGATGATGTATTGTCATATAAATGTAAGAACACAATTACATATTAAAATAAAAGTTACTATTAACATAATACTACTGAATGTTTAAACACATGTTATGTTATGAATGTCACGTTCTTGAAGTAGATTCTTTTCATGAGATGAATAGGTCTGACGGTAATGCCTGTCCATTATAATAATATACATGCTATATATGGTGTCCGCGGATGGTTTTCTATTATCTGTGGTTTCAGCCATTCGTGGAAAGGCTTGGAACGTACCACTAGCTGATACGGGGGGACTACTGGGTTTGTGTGTGTTATATAAAATGAACTCAAAACGTGTACAAACTTCAGATTATTTAGTCACTGTGTAATAAGCCACTTAACTGTCATCTTCTCGCAGAGGATAAACTTATTGGTTTTATACTGTATATTATGCATTACCAAGAAAAGAACAATACAACGTCTTCAAGTAACCTCTTTGTCACATCACCACATAACGCATTTCCTCTTCCCTGTAAAGAAGACTGAAAAGGCGGGGCGAGGGGGAGTCTGTCTCAGATCATTCTTGCTAAAATTTCCTTCCGTTTTAGTGCATAGGGCCTGTCGTGAGGGTGACTAAGCATGAGTTTGACTTGTAATGAAGGTGGAGAATGGAGGGTGTAGTTCGGGATTGGGCCCAGATCGGTTTTTCGGAAAGGACGTGCTCATTCGCCAAATAAAAAGGCACAAGCACATCATCTACGGGAGCCCCAACTCCACCAATGGAGGTGAAGTCGGCATGGGATGAGGTGGCAGCGAGTGTGTCTTCGTTTGCTGGCATCACCTGACCATCTGCCGCAGTGCCGAAAGCCATATAATGGTGTTGACATCCCAAGACAACAAAACAAGACATCTCGAGGTTCTGGCTGAGTATGAGTCATTTCTATCATCTTTCTCACCTTCCATTGCTGCTGCTAAAACCTCCTACTACCATGATAACATCACGATTACCTCAGACCCACACAAATGATCACTTTCATCACCCTCGTCTGCCCATCATGCCGACTGCTGATGATTTTGCCAATTACTTCTATGAGAGGGTGGCAGCTATTGGCAGCTGGTTCTCTGCAGCCAAATTCTCATATAAACCTCCTCTGCACATAGTCCA